GAAGGCGTGCGTACTCCTGCTTGTCGCTTCCGACATACGTGACAACGTTTTCTGTTGAATGCCTTGAAATTTCTTCTGTTGATTCGCTGTTTCCGTCCTTCCGGAATTTTGTCCTACTGAATGTATCAGGTTATCAAGAAAGTTAACGCCGTTAGTTGGGCACAAACAGTGTGAGAAATATTATACTAATCGGACTTGTAATTTCGCTGTGCAACTTCCAGTAGTTTTATGTGGTTCAAATGAGATTCTTTGTAGTAGTTTTGCTGCACTCAGGCTATGGGATCGTCTAGAACAAGTGTAGGTGTGAAAAATTTCGTATTCACATGTGACGGATTGTGGTGTTTCCAAGTAGCCGGGAGTCGACTAAATTGTCATCCTCATCAGCTATCCGTTTTGGACGATTTCCGGTTGTTCGAATTGCCAGATTGGTTCACAACAAAATCCATGATCGAGGGGCTAAATTTCGTAGTTCAGGTGGAGGATCTGGGCATACTGTAAGGTACTCCATCCGCAAACTACGTAGGCGTAGCTCTACTGGGTATAGTTCAGATCGAGCGTTCTTCAGATTCGGAATTTTGCGAGGCGGATCTCTGACACCGCTTTGAACAAAACCACCGGGAGTTTGTTCCTCGCTGGTCCGAAAGGCCTTTACCATTCTCGAGCGTATTCTCAGAGTTTCTACCGCTATTTATGTCTTTTTCAATTTTTCAGTGAATCTACACGGTTAGAACACTTCGTACATAACGAGAGGTCTTGCCTGACCATCCGTAATTTGCAAGTTTTGCTCTGTCACACGGCGACCATTGTGCGTCGTGCAATATCATTCAATTAGCTGCTTTGAAGTATGTAATCCAATTTCCAAACTCACAATGGTCTATAGTTGGTTGACTTCTGGTCCCACCGTTTTTGAGGCTGCTTTGTGTCTCCACGTCACTGGCGAAGATTATCTTCTCCACAGAGTGTACTGAACGATTGTGAACCATGACTGTTTTGGAATAGTACACCAACAGAGATACCATTTTCACTGTTCTTTCTCATTCATCCCATCTATTCTCCATTCTTCAGATAAATCTTCGTAATCAGTTTCGGTCACGATATCTTCGCCTTCTGCCAGATAGCAGTGAATTACGTGCCGATCAGCCTCATCCATGGGGATCTGAAACACTGATATGGTTAGAGCAAGTCCCAATGACTTCTGGCCCAACTGCCGGTCGAGGTGGTGGGGCAAACGTTGGGCGTGCAGCTGTCGCCAGATTCGGGCGTGTGGCATTGCGAAGCGAAAACGGTCAGTATTTGAAACCAGACGGTAGTCTAGCTGATGAAATGGAAGACTCAGTGTTGTTTGCTTTCGAATTGCGGCCAGGTGAGTTTTTGTATCGCTCATCCGATTGTAACAACCCGCTTATATTCTGTATACGTTTATGCTCTACGATGAATGCACAGGAACCACTTTTCATTAATGGCCCCAAAACGTCGATTGGGATAGACCTATCAAATAAAGTTGATCGATTCACATTTACGTACGGTTTTTCAGCGACTTTCACTATTAGGGTTGAAGTGCACTGCCTCAAGTCTGTCACATTTCCGTGAGAATTAGTCGGAAGTGTGTTTTGTTTGGCGGAGAAATATTGTGGAAGACGTCTTGTGTTTGCGTGTATTTCTCCGCAGAAATGTAAATCATCCTACAGGATCATGTACTACTACTTTTTGCGGCGCACATTTTCTACAGTGGTGAGGCCGAACGTCTATCAGTCTTTTAGGCGTATTGATGATTATGACGAAGTTGCATAGATGTATGACATCTGTTTGTTGCATGGATTTGCTTCAAAATCCACCTGTGACAAATGCCTTCCTTTTCAGTGAAATGTAACATGCAGACTTCGTTCTTAAAATTACACCTTTCTGGTTTTCACAATACATTAGCTGTTCACAATCTGTATCAAAGATGGCTTTGCCAAAGGTGTCATTCTTCCGAGTTCCCGTTTATTAGATAAACAATAGCGGACGGACTAGACACAACTTTGTATATTAGTAATCGTCAACCGCGCATCCGTTAGCAATATTTGCACGTCTGATCTGCTGCACTGTCGGCTAATGCAAGTCGCTTCTCCTGTTGTAAATCTCTAGTTTGCTTGTCCTAAACGCGTGTGCTTTTACCTTCAAATATGCATTAATTGGCAATCAAATTGCACAATTTCGGAAAGCTATGTCTGATAAACAGTATTCTCTTCAACATACCTCTTCTGGATATGACAGTATCTTACACTGTTCCTTAGGTTCTTGGGTTGAGTTCCCGTCACAAACTAAGCGTTCGTTTCTACACTAGTACAACCAATCAATCAGACGTATGCACCCAGTAGTAGGAAGCTTATACTCAAGGAGAACTGACGTTTCGATGACAAGAGCAGAAGCAGATACGCATTTCCAACGCCACCTCATTCCTACCTTGCAAGGAAATCCTTGAAAATCGATATGAGTGTCATCAGTGATATTACCTGCCAACTCAGTAGCGTCCAATGCAATTACCCATACCATAGTTTGACAGCTAACTCTTATAGCAGCATTCTGAGTCATCCTGGTAAATGTGCTGACAGATTACGTGTCCCTGAGAGAGAGGGAAAGTGCGGAGACTTTTCCATTCTAACTCGACTCGAGCAACCAGCGTAAACAAATTCAAGAAGTTACTTTGCCTGATCTTTTTACGTTTCGAGTACAGTACCTAGTGAACTTTTCCATAAACTTCCACTGCTGGAAAATAGGATTATAAACCAACCCAAGTCTTTGGAAAATAAAATGGGGAGAGAAGTGCATCTGATCAAATCCTGGCAGTGACGCTAGCTCTGAATGAAACCTTGCTTCTTCGAAAAATGGAGTAGTGTTGGCTGCTCTTTGATTAATTGTGTTGCAGTATTTGCTAACGGGGAGGCTAAGCTCGCTCTGCTGCACAAAACATTAAATCATAGGGTATATCCTCAACAACTTTGTCATATCTAACTTGCCGGCTGGGTTTGTTCTTTTCTAATACGAAAGCGCATCCTCAAATTCAGTCTCGTGGGTTCCGCTTCGGATATTCAGGCCTTGAGTAGGTGGCCAATCGCCCGTTTCTCAGCCCTGCAGTGTTACGTCATGACAAGTATACCACTCTGGAGTAGCTCGTGTTGGTCCTACTAGAAGTACAATGTTTACATGTACATCGTATTTCGATCGTCACTACTAAAATTATGTGTATTTGTAGAAAGCATTATCTAGCCTTGATGAGGTCGTGGTACCGAATTGGTCAAGGCGCGAATCTACGTACCTTGTCGTTCGAGTCTAATTCTGGCTTTTCGATTACTTTTGTACAGGTAACCTAGCGTGGTCTGAGCTTTCGTACATTTTTCCTTTGTACGACGGCTGTGCACCGAAAGGGTTTCACGGCTGAATGATTGTTCGGATTGTTGATGTCCACCAGGTGTGACCTTGACAGGTTCCCACAACATCGAGGTTAATTAACTGCAAAAAACTTAAAATGATGGCCATTCAGGTGTAGCATCCATTCGGCGCATAGCTGGTATACCTCCCGAGAGGCAAGCTACTGCCAAATTACCTGAGCCGAGATGCATAAGTCGTGGATGTTCTGGTCAGTAAGTTCGAGTTTTCACCACGGAGCTATCTGGTGGTTTATTATGCTCTCCAATTCGAACTGTTTGTATCTCACTCCGACCACCATTATACTAGTGAAGTGGATATGAAAGTATACCTGAAAGCCGCAGAATCGCGATGTCTAACTAACCACGATGTCCATATACGGATAGTTGCACCACACTTGAACACCACAGAAGGTAGTGTTGTACGGGTTTGGCTATCCGAATCGCTAGATTTTCGCTTTTTACGCTAAGTACCCTATTACGAGAGTATTGTCTGTTTCGTGCGAATCAGAAAACGTTTGAGCAACGCTAAGCCATAAGACCGATTGACGTAAAATGCAAAAAGATGACCTCGATTTTCTTAACAACCTCACACAACTCAGTAGTACTTCACTGGGAGTTGTAGACGGATTGGTTGTTTTGGTGTTGACTTGTTTTTCACCATTACTGATTTTGTATGTGATCAGTATGGCTGTGCACTACGGGGGTCCATTTAAAAGGGTTGAATAAGATGGCATCCTCCGCGGGATAGCCTCTACTGACAGCAGATGAATGAAAACAGGTGTGAGAAACCCAACAGAAAATTATTGGGTGGAAAAAACTGTGGTGCCGTTCTGGTTGATGCATCTCTATAAATATCTTGAAGATTGCGATTGTGCCGCAAACACAAGCTAATTGTCTGCGAAATGAATCTGATGGGAACAAAGTGGTGAATCCATATTAGTCAATCCAAAACCAGGATGACCGACTTTGGTAGACGTGGGCTGGCAGTGAAGAGGCCAACGAGAGCGATTCCCAAACACTGCATCAAAGATGCAGGCATACCTAGAGCGGTGGGAATGTCCTAATCTTATCATGGTTGAGTATCATGGAATACTGAGTCAATCTGAACGAGATCGGATGGAAAAGTGATACCGAAGTTGGGTCGCACGTTTTCACTCTGATTCGAAATTGTACCCGATCATGTAACTATAGTTAGGACCTCGCTGAAAGTCCTGTTACACCAAACAGCACGCACTTTCAGATTACCTGACTTGATGCTTAATAAACTGTACACACAATGCACTTCCCAACACCTCTTTTCCTGCAATTCCGCATTTCCATTTGTGATAATGTTGTGGCATGACATCTAGCGCATACGATGTCAAGTAAAACGTGTCCATTTACATTGAAGAACGTGGAAACTATACTCACTGATACTTCAAGAAACGGGACGAACTGAACTCGGATGTTTGGGTGTCTTGAAGTACTCCAGTTTTGGATTGTGTCAATAAAGTTTAAATGCTCTAATCAAACGTACGTAATGCTGGACGTTGCACTTGTAGGAACTCGTCCGCATAAACATGCCTAGCAGTCGACTTGACGTGACCGACTGAAAGTGCACTCAATCATCGCCGTCTCATTTCCGCATGAGTTTTAAAACTTGCTCACACGACGTAGTAATACAGCTTTCATGTTTGATGATGATTTTTGTTCTACACTGCATCGGTATCTAGCTCCTATCAAATCATATCGACCCTCAGCTAGTCTGTTCGAGGAAGAAGAGCATAACAACCTGGGTTACAACGGTCAGTAGAGGCATATGACGGATTATTGTGTTTTTCGGGTCCCGTAGTTTGAGGGCGCATGCTGTCTGGTCGAAGCTCTCATTAATGCAGTCAGTTATAATTCAAAAGACCAGCGCTACGTAAGGACAGCGTTTTCTCGTGGATCCTGAATTGTTTTTTTTTACTTCCAACCGTGTTTTCCACCTTCAGCACATTTTCCCACTCACTAGGTATCCCCTCGTTGTCTTTGTGTCGCTTGTACAAACAAGGTTTGAACGCCCGTTTTGATGTTCCTTTAAAAGGTGCACTTTTTGGTCGTTTGGGAGGCTACCCATGATCTACACAATTATGTTTACAGAGCATTCGTCAATAGCTCACGTGGTGTATGCGAGAACAAGTCATTAACAGCTGCCTGATGATCTTTTACACCTCACCGGTAAACTTGAAAGCGAACATGGGTCACCAGTTCGTTGTCGTTTCCTGAGATAAATTGAATTGGCCTTCAAACGAGCTTTTTCACATAGCGGATCGATTTCTCGTCACACTTATGAACTGGGTCACTCGAAATACCCCGTCCCGAGGACATCAGTGTAGCTTAAAAGAAATGAGCTTGATGGGTATTCATGGGCTCTTTTCTCGTAGAACAGCGTATGACACCCGTCTCCTACTTTGTCACGGTTTCCAAGTCCTGGTCACTACCACCAATTATATTATGATTCTGTACATTTGGTATTGATTTGGTCATACTGAGAAGCATCAAGCTTTTCTCATTTACTAACATGTACGTGCTTGCACTGTTCTCACCGTTGCCCACTGGATGAATGTTAGCATTTAGCACATAAATGCGTACAAGGCAATAGCCAATAACGGTTTTTAATTGTACGACCAGGCACACGTGACCTTCCAGACGATTTGTTTGTGTTTCATGTCCAGTCGGGATCGTCTGTGCAACTGTCCGCTCGAATTATTGAATTTATGAGCTGCTTGAGTTTGCGGCATCGCTTCCATGAGAAGATTTAATAGTTACAGTTATGAGCAGCTTAAATATTCTTGGTATGTTGGGAACGCTTTTTTTGATCATCTTCCTTAGGGGAGCTCGACTCTCTGTACGAACCTCTAAACTTTGCACGGGCATTCTTCACCAGTACCAGTGTCGGCGTCGCAATTTTGGAAGGTGCATAATTTTCCATATTGCTACGCTGTTACTGAATACGTATAACCTTTTACACTCTTCATGATAATGATATTTTGTGACTGCGTTACCTTTGTTCAGCTAACCCTGCTCTTCTTATTTGCGAGCTAATTTACATTCAACTGGAGACTTAAATGAATCCCGGCTGAATTTCTCGTTTATGGTATTCCCCAACTGAATGTGCTCCACAGAGACCGTCGCTTGTTTCAGTTGGGACGATATTCGAAGCGTTTTCAGCAACTTTATGAGAGGTGCGTCTAGGACCAATCAACTTCAGGGTCAGCATTTAGAAGCTATCCATTTCTTCCGGATGTTATAAACTTTTCAGTGATTTGGATGCACTGATCGAGAGAACCGAACCATGCATGGTCATTCATTAGTGGTGAATTAATCGCAGTATGTAGGCGAACGAAATTCTCTCATATTATTTATTGGGATTGCCATATTTTGATGATTTTTTTCTTGATTGCATGCGCAACATCATTTCTTTCTTCCACTATAATCCATTTATAATTGACCACCAATTATTTTGATCCGTGTTGTTCGTTTCTTTGTGATTAGGACACCCGCGAACCTTTGCTTTCCGTGATAGCAACGGTGCTTACCTGACAACAATCGGGCCCGGGACTGTGAAGGTCAAAACAAATGTTACAACCCCCGGCAAAGAGGAGTTGTTCCTAATCGAACGTGCTGCCCTGCAAGTTGGCATTTTGGCACACAACAACAAATATGCCTCTGTCAAGCAAGGTGTGCTTCTGATCAGTTTCGTACGCTTGATTTTCGATCTAGCTGTCATTGTTTTGATACTAGTAAAAGTTCGAAAGAGATATTGCTGGAGTAAAGAAGAAAGTGTAGCTGAATGCAAACGCCTACGCTGTGTTCCTTCTTGGATAATTTCCACAGTGGTTTCCTCCGAACTCACCGTCACTTGCTCCTTTGTGTTTAGGCATTGTTCGGCGCGTGGAAGTCACATCTTGGAAGTCTATAGGTGACCCTATGTTATAAAACGCCAAACTCAAATAAAATGGTACATCTAGTGCCGTGCCTGGTGAATACAGGGGGTTTAGCAACCGTTCACTCATAGTGGGTGGTTTTTAACCACTAGCACATGTGGCTTAGAAACTTGCGCATTGTCTCACTCCCAAAGAAACCCTACCCAGTTTTACTCAAGGAAATCCATTAGTTGGTGTGTTCTGAGCTGTCTTTCTATCCTACAGTACTGTGGCCCTCCTGGAGTCAA